TACACGTATTGGGTCTAGCACTCTTGCGATCTTCTCCTTCTTGCGAGGGGTCTGTTTCTCCCCTGTTACGGGGGTCTTCCCTAGTGTTCACACTAGGTCTTTCTCTGTCTTTGTCTCCAATACACGTATTGGGTTTAGCACTCTTGCGATCTTCTCCTTCTTGCGAGGGGTCTGTTTCTCCCCTGTTACGGGGGTCTTCCCTAGTGTTCACACTAGGTCTTTCTCTGTCTTTGTCTCCAATACACGTATTGGGTTTAGCACTCTTGCGATCTTCTCCTTCTTGCGAGGGGTCTGTTTCTCCCCTGTTACGGGGGTCTTCCCTAGTGTTCACACTAGGTCTTTCTCTGTCTTTGTCTCCAATACACGTATTGGGTCTAGCACTCTTGCGATGTTTTCCCTGGGCGAGGGGTCTGCTTCTCCCCTGTTACGGGGGTCTTCTCTAGTGTTCACACTAGGTCTTTCTCTGTCTTTGTCTCCAGTACACGTATTGGGTCTAGCACTCTTGCGATCTTCTCCCTGGTGCGAGGGGTCTGCTTCTCCCCTGTTACGGGGGTCTTCTCTAGTGTTCACACTAGGTCTTTCTCTGTCTTTGTCTCCAGTACACGTATTGGGTCTAGCACTCTTGCGATCTTCTCCCTGGTGCGAGGGGTCTGCTTCTCCCCTGTGACGGGGGTCTTCTCTAGTGTTCACACTAGGTCTTTCTCTGTCTTTGTCTCCAGTACACGTATTGGGTCTAGCACTCTTGCGATCTTCTCCCTGGTGCGAGGGGTCTGCTTCTCCCCTGTGACGGGGGTCTTCTCTAGTGTTCACACTAGGTCTTTCTCTGTCTTTGTCTCCAGTACACGTATTGGGTCTAGCACTCTTGCGATCTTCTCCCTGGTGCGAGGGGTCTGCTTCTCCCCTGTGACGGGGGTCTTCTCTAGTGTTCACACTAGGTCTTTCTCTGTCTTTGTCTCCAGTACACGTATTGGGTCTAGCACTCTTGCGATCTTCTCCCTGGTGCGAGGGGTCTGCTTCTCCCCTGTGACGGGGGTCTTCTCTAGTGTTCACACTAGGTCTTTCTCTGTCTTTGTCTCCAGTACACGTATTGGGTCTAGCACTCTTGCGATCTTCTCCCTGGTGCGAGGGGTCTGCTTCTCCCCTGTGACGGGGGTCTTCTCTAGTGTTCACACTAGGTCTTTCTCTGTCTTTGTCTCCAGTACACGTATTGGGTCTAGCACTCTTGCGATCTTCTCCCTGGTGCGAGGGGTCTGCTTCTCCCCTGTGACGGGGGTCTTCTCTAGTGTTCACACTAGGTCTTTCTCTGTCTTTGTCTCCAGTACACGTATTGGGTCTAGCACTCTTGCGATCTTCTCCCTGGTGCGAGGGGTCTGCTTCTCCCCTGTGACGGGGGTCTTCTCTAGTGTTCACACTAGGTCTTTCTCTGTCTTTGTCTCCAGTACACGTATTGGGTCTAGCACTCTTGCGATCTTCTCCCTGGTGCGAGGGGTCTGCTTCTCCCCTGTTACGGGGGTCTTCTCTAGTGTTCACACTAGGTCTTTCTCTGTCTTTGTCTCCAGTACACGTATTGGGTCTAGCACTCTTGCGATCTTCTCCCTGGTGCGAGGGGTCTGCTTCTCCCCTGTGACGGGGGTCTTCTCTAGTGTTCACACTAGGTCTTTCTCTGTCTTTGTCTCCAGTACACGTATTGGGTCTAGCACTCTTGCGATCTTCTCCCTGGTGCGAGGGGTCTGTTTCTCCCTTTTCACGGGGGTCTTCCCCAGCGTTTACGCCGGGTCTATTATCTTCTCCCGTGTTACGGGGATCTTTTTCTCTCACTTGTTCAAGTCTAGCACACGGTTGTTCATCTCCTTGGTTAGAGGGGTTCATTAGCGCTGGTTCTACAGTAATTTCATGTTCATCACTATTGGAGCGTGGTTTACTTTGGTTGGTACTTCTACGAGTACACGGTTGTTCTACTCCTTGGTGAGAGGAGTCTATCAGCTATGGTTCTGCAGTACTTTCATGTTCCTCACTCTTGGTACTTGATATACTCGGGCGGGTACTTCTTCTCTCACCAAAGAACACGTTCGGTGCCACCAACCCGGGAAGAAGCGCTTTAGTTAGCACCACGGTCCTGCTCCTGTCTACAAAAGCTGCTACCGTGGTGTCATCCGCCCTCCTCGCCCGCGTTGGCCCCACTTCTGGATGGGGTCCGTATTGTCAGGGGTTGGCACCTGCTGCGCCGTGTGGCCTGTAATTGTTGCTGTAAGGGGCGATCACGGTGCGTGATGCTGCGGGGGCGGGGGCGGGGGCGGGGGCAGAGGCAAGGGCGGTCGCGGGGGCGGGGGGCCGGACTGGCGCTGCGGGCGGCGGACCGGGCGGCGGGCCGGGGGGGGCGACGCTGGGGTGAACTTGTACGTGATTGAGGGCGCAGTGCGGGCGGGTGCACTTTTGCCCTTTCCAGTGGGAGTGACACGCGCGGTGGGGGGTTCGCCACGCGAGGAGGTCCTGCTGGAACGGCGTCAGCGTCGACACCGCATGTTGGTTGGCGACGGGTGCTGCGGTTTTCCGCGGGCGGGATGCTGTATTTCCGCTTGTGGCGCTGCTCGCTAATGCTTTCCTTTTCTGTGGCTGCGGGAGCCCGGCCGGGTCGTTGTTCAGCTTTCCGACGATGGCGTTGGCGTTGCCTGGGTGTTGAGGGCCTGGTTCGACACGTTGATGTTTGGGCCCAGAGCTTGCTCTTGCTGGGGCTGTAGCACGAGCTGGCCACCTAACGGGAGATTGATGGGCTGGGGCTGGCCTTGCTGCTGGAGGCCGCCGGGGGGGAGGTGGCCAGGCTGCTGTTGCTGCTGCTGATGCTGCTGCTGCTGCTGCTGCTGGTACTGCGGCTGTTGCTGCTGCTGCTGCTGCTGCTGCTGCTGCTGCTGCTGCTGCTGCTGCTGCTGCTGCTGCTGCTGCTGCTGCATCCTGATCTCCAGGTTGCCGAGTCGGTCGCTTTGCTCTTTTAGGAGTACCGACATTTGCAGCAGTAGCTGGACTGGGTTGAGGGGGGGAGGTGGGCCTCCCAGCCCGGCTGGCGCGGCTCCGCCCGCGTTCTGGTCGCCTCCTGCTGCCGGGGGCGCGTTGTTGTTTCCCGCCGCCGCCTGTTGGTTTCCCACCGCCGCTGCTGGCTGGTCTCCCGCTGCTCCTGCCTGTCCGCCACCGTGGGGAGCTGCCGCTGCTGCTGCTCCTCCGCCGCCGCTGCTCTGTTGTTGGTTAGCTGCGGGCGGTGGTCCGGGCGGCGGTGGTGGCGGTGGAGGTGGCGCTGGTTGCGCTGGTTGCAGCTGCTGGGGGGGACCCTGACCCTGCTGCTGCAGGTTGTTGCCGTTGTTCATCACTCTGGCGTGTCTCGGACAGGATTCGATAAAATTCGATCAAGTCCCAAACGAAAACTCTTTTCTCTCGTTGCTGCTTTGCTGCACTGCCTTTGCGGGGGATGCATCGTTTTTCCCTTCGAGGTCCTCGGCTTCCCAAGGATCCCAAAAGCTTCTGCCAAACTCTCTCTCTTCTTTGTACCCTGTGTATAGCTATACCCCCGTGTACCACTTATTATCTCGCCGCTCTTCCACGAAATTTCCGGAACGCTTCCACAAACCACGGATTCACGGTTGTACCGAATCCTTCGTCACTACGCCCTGTCGTGGTCTGCAAACCACACGCGAACACCCTAACCCTAGACCCTAACCCTCTGTGATATGTTGTTGTTGTTGTTGTCTTCACATTAAACCGTATGTCAGTTGCTCAATGCCAAAATCTAGCAAAAGACTCTCAGCCCGTGGTCACGAAAGTGCTAGAGCCATCTGANGGACTGGGTTGAGGGGGGGAGGTGGGCCTCCCAGCCCGGCTGGCGCGGCTCCGCCCGCGTTCTGGTCGCCTCCTGCTGCCGGGGGCGCGTTGTTGTTTCCCGCCGCCGCCTGTTGGTTTCCCACCGCCGCTGCTGGCTGGTCTCCCGCTGCTCCTGCCTGTCCGCCACCGTGGGGAGCTGCCGCTGCTGCTGCTCCTCCGCCGCCGCTGCTCTGTTGTTGGTTAGCTGCGGGCGGTGGTCCGGGCGGCGGTGGTGGCGGTGGAGGTGGCGCTGGCTGCGCTGGTTGCGGCTGCTGGGGGGGACCCTGACCCTGCTGCTGCGGGTTGTTGCCGTTGTTCATCACTCCGGCCTGTCTAGGACAGGATCAAAATTCGATCAAGTCCCAAACGAAAGCTCTTTTCTCTCGCTGCTCGCTTTGCTGCACTGCCTTTGCGGGCGATGCAACGTTTTTCCCTTCGAGGTCCTCGGCTTCCCAAGGATCCCAAAAGCTTCTGCCAAACTCTCTCTCTTCTTTGTACCCTGTGTATAGCTATACCCCCGTGTACCACTTATTATCTCGCCGCTCTTCCACGAAATTTCCGGAACGCTTCCACAAACCACGGATTCACGGTTGTACCGGATCCTTCGTTTTTCGAGTTTTGTGGAAAGATGTTAGTCTAGACTTTTAGGCGGAATCGCCCCTGGAAGATCCGGCGTACAAAAACTCGAAAACCCGAACATCTCTTTGGGCTGTTGGACCTTCCTGGCCAATCACATGATTACACCGCTTGTTCGATGTTCGATGTTCGAGTCCAAAAAAACTACGTAGGACCCACCCTCACGGATAGAGAAATAATGTTCTTCGGAAATCAATAACGTTAATGTGACTGCCAGAACTCGTCGCCAGATAAGTAACTCCCAGTGCTGCAGGCTACAACAACGCAACATGAAAGGACATGACCCAAGGAACAAGTGCTGAAAACCGATGTGCACTTGCCAACGTGAACCCGCCAATAATAGACAAAACCCGACTCCCAAGCACACACGCAATGTCGCTCCAAGATCAGAACGTCGTGGGTTGAAGGATGGGGGTGCCGCAAGAGTATGTTGGATCCCAGAGAAGGGGGGTGTGAGCAACGCTACAATGTACGAGATGGGGAGACAGTCATGATAGAGCTTGATGGTCTACCACCTATCTATTCCGGTCACTGCTCGGCCCGTCGTCGTATTATTATATGTAGAAAAATGGTTCGTGGACCGGTTCCATTCTCAGTCGCATTTCGGACCACGGCAATACCTAAACGAGCTGCAATCAACAAATTGATGCACCACTATCTATTATTGGCCTCAGACAAGTCGTTGTTGCAGATCACTAGAGTAGAGGCGGGTATTAAAGGCCACCCGGATATTAATGGCCATTTTTTTTTATACCATACCATACGATACAGTAGGGATACCTCCTCACCGAATTCACGGAGCCCCTTTATCTTTTTTTTAATTGCTCCGCGCAACCGGAGCTCTCGTTTGAGCACCACAGCTTCGCACGCCAAGCATTCTACCCCGAGATACAGCCGAGGGAGCCACCACAGCTCCTGCTGCTAGCCACCTTCGTCGTTTCCTTGGGATTTTTGCTAAGCATGACCCGGTGCAAGGTGGACGAGGAGAAGGTTCGGAAGGCCTTTGCAGCGATAGATAATGGCATGTCGGTCAGGAAGGCTGCTGAGGTCTTTGGGGTAGGTCGTACGTCTATCGAAGACCGCCGCCGTGGCAAGGTGGCCATGAACGCGAAGGTTGGCCCCGAGACCATCCTGAGCAGAGAAGAGGAGGATTCGCTGGAAGATATTCTGCTGGTTGCTGCTCGCAACTTCTTGGCTGTGGATCGGGTTCACCTTAGAGACGCGGTGCGACGACTCTGCAACGACGGTCGGCGGATCCCTTGGGATCCAGAGAAGGGTCCGGGGAAAGATTGGCTTGGGGGCTTCCTTCGTAGGCACCCACGGGTGGCGGAGCGCTCGACCCACATCTACGAGGCAAACAGGATCACCGAGGACGAGGAGCCTCGCATGGTGCAGTTCTACGAGAGATGGGCAGCTCTCCTCGACGAGGTCAAACTGGAGGCCAACCACGTGCACAATACCGACGAGACAGGTGAAGATTCGCTCGTAGACTAGTCTATAAAGGTGCCGACTAGTCTACAGCAGTAGTCGTGTGGCAGCAGTAGAAGCTGCGCGGGTGACTGTTGTGCAAACACCACGAAACATGCCACACGAAAAATATCAGGCAGAGTTCTGCCCCTTTGCGGCGTAATTTTGGCCGCCTCATGTACGGCTGCCGTGTAGTCTAGACTGGCACACAGCAGTACAGGCCGTGCTCCCGCATTCCTGCTCAAAAATGCCGAAATTGCCGCTGGCTCTGGTCTTTTCAGACACAAAAGTAGAGTACAGCACTGGTTCCAGACAATGTACTGCTGAAGACTATGGTAGTCTAGAGTTCAATATTTTCATAGCTGCATCGCATCGTCTTCAGCTGGTAGTTCGAGGGAACCTGCGGCGACGAACGTGTAACTAAGGGCGATTTTTAGTAGATGCATGTGCCAACACATGAAAAAACTAGACTATTATAGACTAGACTAGTCTACACAGCACCCTGCTTTTGCTCTCCCGGTTGCCTCGTCCAGCTACCGCCAAAATGACGATAGACTGCGTAGGTTGAAAGCTCTGGCCGCACGAAAATAAATGCAAAAGAGCCACCGCGTGTGTCCCCCCCCCGTCCACTCCCGTTGCTTGGCGCGCACGATACTGACTGCAAATGTTTGTGTGCGTGCGTACATTACTGCGGGCATACCGTCACGGGAATCCGCGTAGGCACGGTGTTACTCGGTGGCCTCTTGACTCATCAAAGGAAGCGCGCGAAGAAGATAGCGACCTCGCGGGGCTCGCTTGGCCTTCCCGACGGAGACAACATCACTGCGCCTGAGTTCCTGGACGCTGTTGAAAAAAAACGCGCAGACAAGGCGGAGAGCGACGCGAAGTCTGCGAGGGCGAAAAAAGTTCGCGAAGAGAAGAGGGCAGAAAAAGCGGCCGCGGAGCTGTTGCGGCAGGTGCGCATGGCCGATGGAGGAAGGGGACGGGGGCGGGGAGGAGGGAGGGGAGAGGAAAGGGGAGGGCGCGGCGGGCACGGAGGGNTCAGATTTGAATCGAACACGCCCAAATGGTCATGAAGTTGGACCCGCAGTCGATATGCACCCTGTAGAACGTCGCATGTGGTTCGTAGGCTATGCGACGGTGATTTTAGGGCGTGCCAGCACCGGGGGGGCAGCATGCACAGGTTTTTAACCCAAGTCGGGGATGTCATCGTTTTGTCCCCGGGTGCCCTGTGTGTGTGTGTGTGTGTGCGTGTGTGTTTGTTTGCGATAGATGTTTTTCACATGCTTACAGGTTCCCTCAAATGCGCTTGTCGCGGGGGTGCAAAGGTGTTTTGAAACTACAGTTTTCGGCGTTAATTCTTACCGTAGCGGCAAGCCTAAAATCAGGAAACAAGTATCTTATTTTGACCTTGAATATATCATCAGGTGTGCTCCAATGGGCGTGTAATTGTGCGTACAGTCGAAACATACCCTGCAGAACGTCGTGTGGTTCGTACCCTATTTGGTGGTGACGTTCGTGCGTTCCAGTACCGGGGGGGGGGAGGGATGCACGGGTTTAGACCGAAAACCCGGGGACGCGGTGATTCTGTTCCCGGGGTGGCTTTTTTTGTTTGTTCTGAACATGTTTATCAGTCATGTTTAAAGATCCCCTCCAAAGGTTGTGTCGTGGGGATGAATGAGTATTCCTCAATGGCGGATACAGTTTGGCGGTGTTCGGCGTGAATTCTTACCGTTAGCGGCATGCTAAATCAGGAAAAAACACGCATGTTTGACCAAGCACCATGTTACGTAGACAACTCATTTCGCCGTGATTTTTTTTTCTCGAGTCGTCTACTGACTGGAATAACACATTTATGCATCAAATTGGTTGTTCTGCCTTGTTTCGAATGCACAGAGCACGCAATACAGGTCACGGAGGGAAAAACCCATCCCTACCCATGGTGTCGAAAACCCAGGGATACGTCATTTTCATCCCCGGATGTGGATCATTTTTGTTTCTTTTTCTTCATTCCTATTGTATTTTACGCATGCCCACCAAATCTTGGGTCTTGAAACGCTTTCAAACGTACGAAATCAACCAATGACGAAAGTAGCCTTAAGTACCCCTAGAAGCGGGTATTAAAGGCCACTTAAGCCACCCCCTGTGCTAGGAGCTTGTTCTTGAGCAGGAAATCGAATTTCGATGATATTGTGGTATCGAGTGATAGGTAAGATCACCCCCCACTTACCTAATAAAAAAGAAACAAAAATCGTCAACAGTGACGAGTAGGGCTGGAGCCGTACACCTGAGCTGCAGGCGTCATTTTGAGAGAAAACTACCCCTACTCTACAGGTCTTGCACATGCTGGTGCTAACACGTGGATTGATACGATGTACATGTTGATGAAATCCAATGCGCTGTTGGCGTGGCTCAGAAAGTATTTCCACTTGACAGACGGCCATAGCTTTCACTTCCCAGCGGTAACACCACTCGAGAGTACTACTGATGCTACCTAGAGTTATGCCTCGAGAGCCACGAGCCATGTTAACTTGTACTCACGGCGCTACATAGGTGGCGACCATCTCGAGCTGACAAGTCTTGCGGGGTGAGACAAGGCAACCATCCAGAAATCAAGTGAAAGTACATAGCACGAAATCTTAACCTCCTGTTTCAGTCTGAAACAGTTCGTCCATGCACCTACCTCAACAATACTGGTATGTCCATTACAACGGGACACCTTTACACCGTCAAGAAATCACACGTTCCGAAACAAACCCACCCAACACTGACGAGCAGCATCAACATGAAACCCAGCAAATGCGAGACCGACAGCATAAAATGTAGAGGCACCCCAAGCAAGTATGCCTCCCTGATACAAGCTGGTCTTCCATCGATCGATGTCAAGCCTAGACTATTCACTCGATTTACTGTTCCACCAAAGTCGAGACAGTCGGCAGTACCAGTCAAGTACAACGGTAAGCAAGATAGTTCGATGGCGGTAGTGTGATTGCTCAGGATCTTGCCGTTGGCCGCGCCATACTCTCTCGGGTTCAGGAGGAAAGAACGCGGTCCATCTGCAAATGAGCACGAAGGGTAGTTGATCGGAACGACCAAGATGATGTTTGCGGATACGATGGGTATGGGTAACACGTTTATGTGAAAAGCTGCCGATAGAGTTGTGCACCAGCTTTCGTTCGAAAATATCGATAGTTCCAGCCAAAACTTGTCGCCCAAGTACTGGCCGCTTATGTACAGTAGTTCACGTACAACACGCCTGCATTCCTCGGTCGATGCTTAAGCTTTGATGGGCCTTGAGGGGCTGCAGCATCGTTTGGCTCTCTTGGCCGGACCTCATCCGGGATGCAACATGTCCTTATTACGCTGGGTCTACGAAACTGTTGGCAACACCAATATTGACGTTATGCAGCGGAGCACACGATTCTACGCCGAAAGACGAAAATGTTCGAACTCGGCGCGACAGAGCTGGCGTTGATCAGGATTCAAGCTTGGAACCTACCATAGGAAGGTCGAAACTATCCCCCCTGAAGAAAACTGTCGTTTGGCCCTGTGCGAGGCGAAGGGCCGAAATGTATATCTTGTAGAGTTTGGCCAACTAAACAACGAATTCTTACGTCCTCTAATGTAAAGGTGGTGGAACGAACATGACATGTCCTACACCCAATCTTCGAGTCCATATATAGTGCTGTCCGCGGGAACAGGCCGCGACTGCCGCGCATTCTGACACAAAATAGGGTATGATCGAGCACGCCACCAGGGCTTGCTTAGCCGAGTTCTCACGTTTTGGTGCCGACGGTAGTCCTCCGTGGCGGCTTGCCACTCGGCGCGCATTGTGTCAGGCATGCCTGTACAGGAGGTATCAGGGGGAGCAGAATTTTGAGCGACGGCGAGCACGGTTTCAGATAAGCAAGTGTAGGAATAGCACGTTGATCCCGAAGCGCCTTGGCGACTGTCAATTCACAGTGAGAGCCACCGTCCGGCATGGGCATGATAATGTACCGACGGCGACATGCTCGCAACACAACAGCCGGAGAACACTAGAAACTGCGTCGAGCGGTTTTGCACAGTCCACGGCATGTTCTGAGTCAAGGAAACATCCAGCCCGATCTAATTTCTGTGCCAAGTTGGCATATTCCTCATATTACATCACAGTATTTACCGAAACGCTAGCAGCCAGCTGGTTGCCCAAGTGGTTCAATTGGCACTAACTTCTCGTCGTTTCGAAAGTGCGAAATCACACGATTTTTTTTTTAAATGTTGATCACGACTACTGCAGTCTTCTTTGCGTGCACACCCAAGATATTGAATTCATGTCCGACAAGGGAAAGGGACGGCTGGACCTGCTCGCTTAAACTAATAGGTGCAACACTGGTGCCTTCTTCTTGTGTGCTGCCCCGGCTGCTGCGTCCGAAATCGCACCGAAAGGTGGAGAAATGATCGACCTCCGGTTCCGGAATAGACGTGATGGCATACACACGATTTCCGTCACGGCACGGACTTGCTGTGCACTCGTTCGAACAACCTCCTGAAACTACACTCCGCTTTTTGGAACAATTGTAAGCCCTACGTTGAAACCACACTACTACGACAAGTGGATCACACTCGAGCGACTGCATGGATGCCCAGCCGACGTGAGGCGCGTCTCGAGGCGCCCCCCTCCTCCGCATTATTGCGCAGAGCATCTGTTCCCTTGAGTGAAAGCCGCGTGGTAGTAACTTTTTCGTAGGATATGAAAGCCGTACGAAACAGTATTCGCGGAGACATTGGATTTGAGCTGCCACCTGCACATCCCTTCGCAACTCCCGACGGATCTGTCCAATGAAGAGTTTGGCCGATGACACTCACTCGAATTAATCTGGGACAGGTACGAGATCGCAGCGCCGGTAGTGAGGTAGCCTCTGTTGCGAAGCACAACGTGACGAAGGTATAAGGTCAAGGGGGTGGTGGCAGTCAGTAACATGGTGAGATCGATGGATCAGCAACGTTCGATGAAATTAATTTGCGCGTGCTCTTCTATTTTAAGTTGTAGGTGATGGTGGGGTATTCCCACCTAAAAAATAAGTAGTGGGATATGCCCAGCTTCGCATGCCTGGGTGCTCTTGCACAATGCCACAGGGAGGGTAACATGTGGAGAAACCAAGCCGAGAAGGGGCAAGGCGACACAACAAAAACAGCACGGCAAACGTACGCCTTGTGGTCTCAGTCAGAGCGCTGATCGTACCTCGAGATTGCACGACGGTCGACAGGCTTTGTTCGGCTGGGAACCCAAAAAACGCGTAGCAAACACCAGAGAACAAGATCAGGGTGTACTGCTGTGCGAAGCTTTGTAGACTAATGGTGCGACACAGGCGAGGGCCAGAAAATAACTTTCGACACATCAACGTAAACTCGGTACGATCCGCGATTGACATTCTCCCACACGGGATGTTAGATACTTCGTTCTGCTGTAGCCACACATTCTTTTCTCGCAGTCACCCACGACGCACCCGCCTGCAGCAATCCATGGACATACAATATCGATCTCAAGCACTGAGGCCGCGGAAGCCAGCCATGGATATTGTACAAATACAGCGTGGCGGTTGGATCTCAATTTTTTCGCTAGATTTCACATGGTGTGGGCTTACCCCACCGCCATCGCGATGACCCTCTTCGTAGGGGCGGCATGCACAAGCTTCTCCAGCACCATCCTTGAGAAAGAGCAACACTTTGTGTCAGAGGAAGGAAGAAAACTGGCGAGGGTCGGGAGCACAGACGTGATGATTGTTGCGTGTGAGTGTGGGTCCACCGAACGTCCACTATGCTGACTCACTCCTGCTGGCTCCTTCGGGATCCTTCTGGCTCCTCCTTCTGGCTCCTTCTGGCTCCTTTTGTTCCAGACAGGTTCCAGAAAAACGCTGACTCCATGCTACCCCCCACCCCCCCCTGCGGGTGCCTCATTATCTACAAACACGCCAAGGGTAACAACTATTGTTTGCGTCGCCCCCATCGCCGCAATCGCAGCGCCGGTGCTTGTCAGTGTTGTGCGTGCTGTGCTGTGGGTGTGTTTCAAATCACGCACACCACCAGACACGTATTTCACAGTCCTCCGCCGCGGTCAGCAGGAACCTCTCGCGCAGCTCCAGGTAGCGGGCATCCCACTTTTACGCTGGGCTCTCGTTGTGGCTCAAAAGTGAGTGAGGTTAATTTTTTCTCATTGGTGCTCTCGAAAGACACGCTGCACACAGGCCACGGCCACCCGAGGCGCTCGGCTGTTGCGATTCCGATCTGGTTTATTTGGGTAGAGATGTTCTCATAGACTTTTGCGATTCCTTCCACAGGATCAATATGTGCTGCTGCATGCGTTGTATGGTCGTGCTGCGGCCCCGAGTTCCCGATATCCTTGAAGGCCGCTGTCAGCACTTCTGTACCTTCGCTGTCAGCACTGCTGTACCTTCGCTGCAGCCCAAGAGGTGTCCCTACACAGCAGTACTTGGGCACGACTACTTTAACGCCGGATTTACAATTCTCATCAACAGGTGTAAGACAGGTTGAGACACCTTACAAGAATCAACAGGGTGTGATTTGAGATTTGAAATTTGAAATCCCCCCACCCCCTGCGGGACGCCTAATCAACCCATAGGACAGCTGTGGTACGACTTCAGTTGGTTACGCCGCACTGGTGTCTGGTGTCTGGTGTCTATTGCTGGATGCGACGACAGGTAGTACAGAGTATGTACCAGACGATGTGGTGACAAAGCATATCTCTGTTCCCAAAGCGCACTCAAAGGGTGTGTGTGCGTC